TCTGGATAATTTCAATCGAAGCAATTGGATGTCTGACTCAGGCCTATATGACATGACCGATCGATAGAAAGATTCCAACACTTCACCTTTGTCATGTCGTATATCTATGTTAAAATTAATAATTTAATTGTCATCAATTATTCATTATCTAATTGATCTTCTTTGTCCATCAATGTGCATACATCATCAGTGAAACACCATCATCAAATTATCATCTATTGATTTCTATCATCATCATTTATCATTCAATAGAAAATTGAGCTAGTGGTGTGTGATCAACTTTGTAATCACATTTTCAGTTAAAAACAATTGATTCCTTTTGGAAATTGAATCAATATAATGTTTACTTTCATATTATATTATATTAAAAGTGAGAAAAGAGTATTATAGTCATATCTTAAATGTGATATAATATTCTCCTTTAATACTAAAAATGAATAAACTATATTTTTCATTTTATTCTGTTGAATATATGATATGACCTGAGTATCACATATATGAATTATGTGTAAGGTATTAACCTTTTGATTATCAACCAATCTGAAAGAATTTTGATCATTCTTGTTTTATATTTATTGCAGTCACAAAATATCAGACTTGGTCATTATGTGAATGATTTAAATCATAAGGGATGATATTGCAGTACTTACATATTGCTTAAACTTAAAGCTCTTAAAAATTAGACTTTATAGTAAAAGAGAAGTGCAAGGCCTTATTTCATGTGATGTATCAAGGTTGTTCATGTGTCGTAGCTATTTTAAGTTATGGCTTAATCAATTTATCATTATATGTTGATTGCATTCAAATCAAACTCCAAAGGAGGTAACAAATGCTCTTAAGAATTTTAGCCCCATGAAAATTTGGATCGTTACATAAGCTACCTGAAATGATCAAATCAAATGAAGACTTTATAACTAGTCTGAGAATCACCATTCAGTTCCTCTCTTCCTAAGTCAATCAGATTCCCAAAGACATATTGATGGTAACATGTCCAACACATTGACCAAAAATCCTCCACCTTTCAGGATCAAAGTGAGTTGTCACCTAAGCTACATTAGATACTGACATTTTCTGTTTTAACAAATTAATAATTATTATCATTTTCCTTAACATTCTAGGACCACTTCACTATAAAAATTATGTCATATCACAATAGCTCTTTAAGACATCAAAAAATTGCTAAATTAGGAGAACCCAAAAGATGAATCAACAGAGCATATCTCGCCAAGTTGGAATTGAAATACAGGATTTAGAGTGGAATATATGGTTCATGCAAGACAAATCATAGGACACGAAATCTCATCTCATGATATCTTAGCGCGAGAAATCTCCAATCTATTTAGCTCCAATCTATTTATAATAATCATACCATCTTCACTCATTTTCTTTACATAATAAAGAATTATATAAAAAAATTTGATTCCCCTTTCAATTAAAATAATTACTATTTCAACATACTCTAATTTATTACCATTGATAAAAAAATAAAAAAATTTGATAACTATTTTATTTCATGAAATTTATAAATAAGCATATATCACTTGAACTATAATAACTCATTTGAACATAATGCACATGAGTACTAGTTGTATAGTATGGTTCTAACTAAATTGTTTTATAAACATTGAACAATTCTGAAGAAGAAAATTTCAATACTATAGACTTAATTTTTTTTTATTAATCATAACGAGTTCCACTATGACGCATATGAGATCCTTTAAACCTTATAGGGTTTCTTGTTTTGACTTTGTATCTTGTGATTTTTCGTTCATCTTCTCTAGGTTTTCCTTTCCCTGACACTTGAAAATTCTTGAGACTCAGTTTAAATTATTTATTTCTTTGTTTCCTTTTTAGTTTGGTATCTAGGACTTTCTTCAAAACCTTGTAGGGTTTCTTTGTGTGATTTTATTTTTTGGTGATTTTTCGATCATCTTCTATTTCTTTTTGAGATTTTTTTTAATTTCATTTTCTTTTTTAGTTTTTCTGCGTGTTATCTTCTCTGTGATTTATAAGGATATCTTCATAACCATTTTGGGGTTTCTTCATGTAGGTGTGTTTCCTTTGTGTTTTTATTTACAGATTTTCTTATTTTTCCATTTATTTTGGGAAATCTATGAGATCTTTTTTCTTTTGATTCTCTTACAGTTTATTTTATACTTTTTAGGGTTTTTTTTTTGTCATTTGTTACTTTATTTGTGGAGTTCTTCTTTCCTCCTTTAACCTCAACTTCTTCTTTTGTCTGGTTCTGGATTGACTCTTGCTATTGGAAATGTTTGATTTCTTTTAATACTACTGCTGCAAATGATTTTAATTTGTTCTATGTTCATTGTGCAGAGGATAAAGTTGTTTCTTCGAATGAAAAGGTTGATGTTGGTTCACAACAATGGAATCTTTCAGTAGTTGGGTATGCATTATGTAGAAAGCCTTTATATGATAATATTCATCAAATTATAAACAAGTTATGGAAGTTGAAAGGTTCAACTGAGCCTCTTTGTTTAATTGAGGGTTTCTTTTTGTTTAAATTTACTTGTTCCGATGATGTTGAAATGGTTCTTTGGGGTGCTCATTGATTTATTGCTGGCAAGCCTTTTATTTTTAAGAAGTGGACTATTTATTTTCGACCAATATGTGAGGATTTTTAGGAAATTCCTATATGGATCAAATTTCCTAACCTTCCTTTATTTGTTGGTCCAGAAAAAGTATTTAAAAAATTACTAGCAAGATTGGTATCCCTCTTGCGGTGAATGCTTTGACTGCTAAGACTTCTAGACTTTCTTTTGCTTGTATTAATGTTCAGATTAATGTGGATTCACCATTATCTGAAAATATTACTATTATTTTTAAAAATTGAGAATTTATAAATCTGGTGATTTATGAATGGAAGCATGTTCTGTCTAAGATTTGATCTACATTTTCTCATCACACTTCCACTTATTCGAAAAACACTTCTATGTTGGTTAATGATATTCCTTCTTTTAGAAGAAGAATCAAAGTAGATTTAATGTTCTTGGAAATGTGAGGAATAAAAGTATTTCGTTGAAAATTTTCATTTTCTTTAAAGAACTAATAATATTAATATCATTCTATTACTCTGGATCTTAATATTGCTGCTCCTGTTTTAACTTTTAATAATGATTACCCTGATAATATAGATCCTAAATTTGGATAATATTGGTGTTTCTTCTATGGTAAATGATGTTGTTGTTTTGCAGAATGAAATAAACATTTAAGAACAGATTGAGCTGATTACTGCCAATAATTTAGTATCTGACAATATCAATATTTTTAATAACTTCTCTTTATTAGAAGTTTTAAATTATGATAATATTGATGAGATGTTAATAATGTCTTAATTAATTGATTTTAATATTCATCACATTCACTGGTAATTTGTTATAAGTCTAGAAATTGAAAATTTAGGAGATGCACTCTGATTCAATTATAGATTTTTATAAGTTATAGGTTTTTATTTAGTTTTTTGAATTTGAATTGATGTTACATGTTAGATTTTTTATGCCTTTTTTTTTATTTTGATGATGCAATTTTTCTTTTTCTTCACTATTGATTCTCTTTTTTATTTTTTTATCAATTTTATATAGATCTGGATGAAATTTTGGTTTTCAGCCATTTATATTAATGGTTAGGTTATTTTATTTTTGTTTGTTTTTTTCTGATTTCATCTGATAAATTCAGATACTCTATTTGATCTTTTCCATTCATATAATGATAACTTTGCCATTCTTTAGAGAATTTATTGCAGTATGATCTTTTCATTTAAATATGACTAAAAACTTTTTTTTTCAACCATTTAATTTCTAAGGTTTTATACTATTATATTATCTCTTTAGTTTCATGAGAGTCGGAATGAAACTTAGTCTTGATATGGTTTAGGTTGAGCTTACTTATTTCACACTTTAAATTTACTTTTCCTCATTTGTATAGTGCAGTACTCTAGAACTGCTGAGTGGATTTATTGCTTCGTGAGTGATGATCGACTTTCTACTATTTTGGAATTCTTCTCTTTTGTTATTTTTGAACGATTATCCAGGCTTAGTTGTTATTATATCAAAGTTGTTTGATTTGATGATGTCGGATCAATAATATATTTTCAATTATTGTTGATGATTTGGAGATTGTAAATGTTTGCTATTTCAAATGTCTTTCCAGCAATGCATTACTTTGTTGTTTATCTCTCTTTCTCCAAGACTCTTCGATGAGATCTACCTTGGTGATGTTTTGAGAGTTTGCCATTCCAGAATTTGGAAAGGTGATGGTTTTGAGTCGACAGAAGACTTAGTTTGTTGTTAATATTTTGATGTTTAGTGCTATTTGGATATTGCATTCTATTTTTATTTTATTTTTATTGATATAATTTTCTTATAATTTCCCAAAAAAATGACAAATAAAATTAATAAATATAATATATAAAATCACGGCAATTTTTTATTTATTATCACCTCGATTAAAAAGTTATAAAAATAAATAAATAAATATTGGCTCGCACTTTTGAGGAAATGGAAGCGAAACTGTCTTATCAAGATAGGATAATGCCACATTAATCCCCACCGTTAACTTCTCACGCATGAATCATAATGGTGGCTTCATATTTAAGCCATCCTCACCGTCCATGTGATCCTCGGTGGTCCCCACCAAAACCGCGGTTCCGACCCTCCACGAGATATTGTTCCGGTCTTTTCAAGAAAGCTCTGGGCTATTACAGTAATTTCATCGAAGACACAATTATGACGATCACTAACGGGATCAAGAGTCACGCTCACTAGTCTTCCGGTAGTAGCCGGTTGGTGCGATCCGGAGCCCAGCAGCCACCTGCAATAGCCGGTGGTAACTGATTGCCACGCGTCGGGTTACGGTTCGACAGTCCCAAACGACCCGATCCAGTTAACGGCGCCGTTACGTAAACCCGGCGCTGTTAACGAGAAAGTAGAAAGCATCAATTCGTCGGAACCTGACGCAATATAAATAGCACTCACCACGGTCCGGCGAAATCTGATCTTCCTTCCTCCTTGTTTGCGCTTCAGTTCTGATTTCTTCAGAGGAAGATGGTGAAATGTATGAAGAGGTGTAGAAGATTCGCGAAGGTTGAGGTGATGGAGGTGTCGAAGGTGGTGGGAATGAGGACGAGAGCGAGATCTCTCGCGCTTGCTGCGGCGGCGGAGGTGAGGGATAGTCGGAGCAGGAAGACTGCTAGATCGGTGGATCAAGATGTGCGAATGGCGCATGTGAAATTTAGGAGTCGGAGTTTGGTGATGACGCATCGGGAACAATCGAAATTGGTGTTTAATGCCAAAGGGAGAATCTGCGGGAATGGACAACAGACCAGCTCGCGGTGTTCAAGTAGCTCTTCCTGTGAAGCGGTGGAGAATGTCGATATATTGTTTCCAACTGTCACGGTTCACGAGGTGATCTGGTTTAATCTTTTTCGTTCTTGAAGGAAATTAGTTCATAGTTTCGTCTCACTCGAATTTTGTTCTCTTTTGAAGCCATGCGAGGAAGTCGCTTGTAGCTCCATTCGTGAATTCGAGCGGTTTCGAGACAGGTTTCAAGAATTTTTTTTATTTTCTCTCTCCTCCGTCTCAATTTCGTGTTAATGAGAATTTTCGAACATTTCACTTTCCAGGAGAGAGATCGAACAGTCAAGCAATCAAATTATCTATTCGGGAGAGCTGGATTCATCAGCTGAGGGAAAATCCCGGCGGTCCTTGCCTGAATTTAGGACCCCGCCCGCCGCCGAGATTGAAGAGTTCTTCACCGTCGTGGAGAAATCATTAAAGCATCAATTCGCGGCCAGGTAATTAGTTTTTTATAGAACTGTAATATCAATCTTGCTCTCATTCTCGCTAATCAGAAACCGGAAATCGATATGCAGGTACAATTTCGACTTTGATAACGAGGTTCCATTGGAAGGACGATACGAATGGGTTCGAGCAAATCCATGAAATCACGCTCTTCGATGATGAGAATTATATCGAAGACCCGTCAACTTAAAAGTAGGCCAAAAATTAACTTAATTTTCTTACTTCTCTTCCTTAGTAATGTGAATTTAGCGAGCAGCGAAGCAACCGCCTTCATCTCTTACTTCTCACCTCTGGACCTCAGCCTTAAATCTCTAATGCCGCCCCTCTTTAATTTATCTCCTCTCACCTCCTTCCGGAGAACCTTCTGAGCTCAGACTTCTCTCTCACCGTCATCTTCCTCCGGAAAGAAAAGAATTCAAAAGAGAGAGAAGGAGAATTGTAATAATTTAATTAAATTGGTTCGCCGAAATCCGTGCATTTCCATCATCTTCCCAGTTCTGCACTCTTCCATGTTTCTCTGCTCAGGTAGGTAGTATTCCAGGTGCAGCAGTGCTCGATCACCGTAGGATTTTTCATCGGACGGTGTAATACAATGCTACTGTAACTTTCTGTTTCAATGATTATTTTTTGGTTATTATTGGTGCGTACTTCTTCATTTCTTCCATTTTGCGGGGGTACGACGCGCGGCGGTGAACTCACCGCGAGGCAGTACTGGGAAGGTGGCGAGGTCGCCCGGCAAATAATATTGATATGGACGTTTTAATCATTAGATTTATTTTTTTTTATATTAATGAAGCAATTAACTTACTAATTAAGAATTAAATTACACTATTTAAGTATTAATTCAGTTATTAAGTTTTAATTTTAATTAAATTTGAATAAAACATTTATATATTCAAGTCCAATGTGCTCTTAAGAGTTCTTTGGTCGCAATAATTAAGTATATGTTACATAGGAATATATATTTCTGTATGTTCAGGTGTTACCTTCATGTTTTGGCTATGAAATAAAATAAAATTGGGGTCATACTCACTTACAAATTTAAGATAACTTTAAAAAATCTTTTTTTTTTTAATCTAATGCATGTTGAATTCACCATGATTGGGTGTATTTCAAATTCATTGTTTGGCATAATGCAAAAGTTTCATTCCGACTGTCTTGGGAGAACACCAAATATATCACCACAAGCTTAAGCTCTCCCTCTCTTCACTATGTTTTCACTACAAGAAAATATTACATACAATTAACATATATGTGGATGACGGTGTCATTCTCTTAAGTTCAACTGCATGTTGTTGTGAATATGGAAACCGATCCACTGCTCAAATTGACATTTTCTCATGTTTGACAGCAAATTGTATTTGATACTCGAAATTAATTTTTAAATTAATTGTTCTTAATTTCTTCTATGATTTGCTGCAGAAGAGAAAAAGAAATAATTAATGAGATTCATTAATTATTTGATTAGTTTCTTAATAGGTCTAATGACATGGTGGAATTAATAAATAGACATGCTAGCTCCCCTTGTTATCCTTCTTCAACATTGATAGCCTTTCAGGTTCTTCTTCTGGTGTGCTTTGGATTGAAGCTTTCGAGTATAGAGAAAGAGCAAGAAAGGAAGAGAAGGTTGCTTCTTTGTGAGGATGAGAGGAGAGAGAAAGAGGTAGAGAGAAAGAGTGCTTTCTTGTAATCATCGAGGTGATCGACAGATGTAATTCTTCAAGCTAATAAAATCATCTGCAGCTCTGCGAACGTAGGAAATTTGTCGAACCACGTAAATTTGTGTTTTTCTCGATCCGATTCTTTGTTTTCTTGTCATCGTTTTTCACAACAACTGGTATCAAAACTCAGGTTCGAATATGAGGGAAAGCAATGGCCAGAGATGATGTGATGACATCGGGGATCGAGAAGTTTAATGACACAGATTTTGGTTACTGGATGATGCAGATAGAGGACTACCTCTATGGGAATAAATTTCATCTTTCGTTATTGAGAAAACGACCGAAAAAGATGGATTCCCTATTAGGAAATTGGACTTAGAGCTGACAAAACTTCCACCAAAGAAAAATGCACTGCACGACAAGTGTGTGATCAGGTGAGATTGTGCTTGATGACAGTAAGAGGTGCAAGGTTAGATTTGTTGAAAAGGGCTTTCATCAGAGGTAGGATATTGCCCATGTAGTGAGAGTTGTAAGTAGAAACATGAGTAAGCCAAGAAAGAGCTTGGAGATACAAAGCTATAATGACGATGATATGTCGACTAAGGGTGTTGCTCTTGAGAAACTGAAGTTGTGCTCGACTTCAGCTAGTCTTCTGACATAAAGACCGAGGCTTTGAGTTGCAGAGGTAGAGAATACCACGTTTGAAACAAAGAGCGACACAATTAGTAGATGATACAACCAGTGTACCAGTCTTTAAGTGAGAGATTTGTTGTGAATATGGAAACTGATCCACTGCTCAATTTTGCATGTTATCATGTTTGACAGCAAATTATATTTGATACTCCAAATTAATTGTTCTTAATTCCTTCTATGATTTGCTGCATAATAGAAGAAGAAATGATTAATAGGTTTCATTAATTATTTGATTAATTCCTTAATAGGCCTAATGACATTATGAAATTCAAAATAGGCATGCTAGCTCACATTGTTATCCCTCTTCGGCATTGGTAGCTTTCCAAGTTTTTCTTCTAGTGTGCTTCGGATTGAAGTTCTCGAGTAGAGAGAGAGAGAAGAAGAGGAGGAGAGGAGAGAGAAATAGTGATTTCTTGTAATCATCGAGGTGATCGACAGGTGTAATTCCTCAAGCTAATTTTGTAGCTACGTGCACGTAGGCAATTTGTCGAACCACATAAATCTGTGTTTTTCATTGTGTCTTTCTATTTTGCATTTTTCTCGATCCGATTTTTCGCTTTATTACCGCCGTTTTTCACAACACATGTAATTTTTTCTCCCTCACTATACTAACAAATCCATCTTTGCAACCACGATCACTCACTCTCCTCGAATATATTTGTGTAATCTTGCACTCTCCCTACAGCCTTGCAAGAGCAATTTTATACATCTTCATCTCCATACTCATGATTACTAGCACACCATATCTCCGTACCAATATGTAATTATCTCTGCATCGTTTTCTTCATTGCTTCACTTTCAATAGCAGTTTCAAATTGTCTGAAGGTCCAATTAGAACCCAACTTGCTTCAAATTGCTAGCCTTGAACTACCATTGAATGTTAAACATGTCAGAAGGTCCAATTAGAACCCAACTTGCTTCAAATTGCTAGCCTTGAACTACCATTGAATGTTAAACATGTCAGAAGGTCCAATTAGAACCCAACTTGCTTCAAATTGCTAGCCTTGAACTACCATTGAATGTTAAACATGTCAGAAGGTCCAATTAGAACCCAACTTGCTTCAAATTGCTAGCCTTGAACTACCATTGAATGTTAAACATGTCAGAAGGTCCAATTAGAACCCAACTTGCTTCAAATTGCTAGCCTTGAACTACCATTGAATGTTAAACATGTCAGAAGGTCCAATTAGAACCCAACTTGCTTCAAATTGCTAGCCTTGAACTACCATTGAATGTTAAACATGTCAGAAGGTCCAATTAGAACCCAACTTGCTTCAAATTGCTAGCCTTGAACTACCATTGAATGTTAAACATGTCAGAAGGTCCAATTAGAACCCAACTTGCTTCAAATTGCTAGCCTTGAACTACCATTGAATGTTAAACATGTCAGAAGGTCCAATTAGAACCCAACTTGCTTCAAATTGCTAGCCTTGAACTACCATTGAATGTTAAACATGTCAGAAGGTCCAATTAGAACCCAACTTGCTTCAAATTGCTAGCCTTGAACTACCATTGAATGTTAAACATGTCAGAAGGTCCAATTAGAACCCAACTTGCTTCAAATTGCTAGCCTTGAACTACCATTGAATGTTAAACAGCTTTTGGGACAGTTTGTGCTTATCCAGATAAGATAAGACACTTATCTGAAAACGCGGACCGCGGGGTTTGACCCGCGTTCTATGTTTAGTGTAAAAAAATAAATGTGTTTTCGGTTAAGCTGCTCAAATGCAGTTTCCAAATGGTGAGGTGGCGTTTTCAAAACGCCGCCGAAGCGGATAAGCTGCCCCCAAACAAAGCCTAAATATATGGATGCAACTATATAAGAAATCTAAAGATTTTTTTTTTTTAATATTTTTCTTGTGCTAAGATTGGGAGTTTTTGAATATAAAATAAAAAGTTAATAATAAGGTGAGAAATTCTTAATAAAGATATTTGATTCCGTTGTATGGCTCCTAGAAGGTATTTAGGAAGCAATTTTTTGTGGTGAAATGTTGCAGAATAGCACTGGGGTTTAAATATGGGTGATTGACTGCGTTTGATTGGGGATAAATAACGTTAGATGACATCCCGACTAAAAACAACCCAAAAAACTTATGAATGATCATTGCAGATGACGACGAGGATCCACCACTTGTTTTTGAGCGATATACAAATACACCACTTGTAAAGTAAAATATACAACACTCTGAAGAACATAAAATAAATAGCATCTCTAAACACAATAAAAAATATAAAAAATCCTCCAAAATAATAAAAGAAACACAAATAAATAGTTTTCTCATAGAATATATCCAATTAGAAATAAATAAATAGGAAAAGAATAGAAATGAAAGAAAATTGTGCTAAAATAGGCAATGAGATGGAATCCTGGGTATGGCAGGCTTCTGCTGTCACGGGAATATAGAATTCCTGCTCAAGAACTCAACTGGATCGTGGGATCTAGCCTTTCCATGGCATTAGGGGTTACGATCACCGGAACCCAGATCGAGAGTTTGATGGGATTTAGGGCTGTCAAAACGGCTCGTTATTCGCGAATAGTTCGTGTTCGGCTCGTTAAGAAGCTCGTGTTCGACTCATTCGCTAAGTTAACGAGCCGAACACGAACAAATATTTGTTCGTTTGTGTTCGGCTCGTTTTGGCTCGAAATACTACTAATCAATTATATATATATATATATATATATATTTGATGAGTAGTATTTTTTAAAAAATTAATTGACTACAAGACTACAAAAATTTATAATCGATTAAACTGTTTTAATATATAAAATAAGATTTAAATCTTGCCCCAACCCTTAACATTCTACGACTGCGTGATTAGGGTTGTCAAAATGACTTTTTGTTCGCGAACAGCTCGTGTTCGGCTCCCTAAGCAAACGAGCCGAACACGAACACAATTTTTGAGCTCGTTTACACCCCTAATGAGATTACGGGATCTATCTTTTTTGCGGCATCACACAAAGTGGAGAGCTCCTGCATCATGCCCTGACTAGGAGAGGTTTCTTGTTTTGCTATGTAGGCTTCTAGAATTAATCAATCACCATCATCGCAAAGTTATCATTTTGTTATGTCTGAGATAATCCTATTATAAAATATATATTGATCATGTTTTTTTAAGCAATTCTAAAACACATACGTACTTCCAAACTATATTTTGGTAGAATAAATAGTCATCCTTCTTTAGCACAATCAAAGATGGAGTTGCATCTAGGCTCGTACTCTCACGAACAAAGCCTTTGACTATTAAATATGTAACATATTTATGGAACTTCTCATAATCGGCA